AGGCACTCATATAGTGCACAGAGAGAGTAGGTATAATAAATAAAGAAATGCACCAAAAGAATATAGACGTGATGACTATTTGAGATAGCTCTTGTAGACGATGGGAGTCACCGAGAGAACATAGCCATATGATTATGAAAAGATAATTATAAGTTCTTCTCTCCATTGGTCCGATTGCACTTTTTATATGTAAGTGTTTTATATTTTTCTTGGGGAGTACCTTTACTTTTCTTGATTCAACTGTTGCGTATCTTTAAGTCGATCTTTTTTTATCGGTTGGTTAAAAACCTAGCACCCGTGCTTTGCTTTACCATTTTCACGACATTTTATATTTGCCTTGGGGGTTTGGAAGTAACAAAACTTTTCTTTTTGTAACAGTGTTGGGAAGTTCCATGTTTCTTCAAAGATAAAATTTTTGTCGAGATTTTTTAACTGAATTCCGCAAGCATTTATGACAGTGGGCTCTCTATAACTAAATGCATTCCAAATGTTGCAACGGATGGAATTTTTGCCGTGTAGGGCCTATTACTTACTGTTTTCAAACATCCTTGGGACCAAAATCTGATGTTAAAGAAGGTCAAACATATCTTGTGGATTATCCTACGATCTTGTACCTTATTTAATTGTTGTTCGAGATGGTTTGGTCAAAATTCGAGATAACTGTCACTAAGTATTTCCTACTTTTTTTTTGCCTTATTTTATTGCTTCCTGAGATGACTCCAGCTTTCCTGGCTTTTTTTTTTTTGCCTTATTTAATTTTTGAGTGCGTGCCAGATTTATTATCATAGATATGGACATGGAAGGGGTCAGAATATTTTGTTGTCTTGTGCATTGCGCGAGCTAAAATCCGCCGGCGCTCACGTAACACTCCGTTCAGAACTTCAACATTTGCTCATAAAATGGGTGGGGAAGAGAAGAACCAATTTTAGGATTTTTACTTTTAGAAATTTGGCTTTTTTTCTATTCAAACTTTTTTAGACAAAAATGCCCCTGTTACAGCCATTGAAAAAATCACATGCTTGCCAGTCGGCGAGCTCAGGCCTTTGTTTGAAACTGACTTGGGTACTTCAAACCCTTATTTGAAATAAGCACTCTTGGGTTCTTTTTTTTATTTATTTATAAAAATAACAACCAAACTTCAAACATTTATTTGACATTTTTACATTATAATTTCATAATAAATGACAAAGAAGAGATGTTGAAGTCCCACCAATCACTGAAAATGACTTGGTACATTGCTTTGTGTTGGAATTCTCACTTATTTGGAGTGCATCTGAAATTGCAGAATTTACAGGAATAAACAGCTTTCGTAAAACAAATTTAATCATGAGTGATATGCCATAATAATCCTTAAACTATTACTAAATATTCTGATTCTACTTTGTTGATTATGGGTCGAAGTAAGACATGATTTGATTTCAAATGATGTCTTAACGAGCGAAATATTTGAAAATGTGCAAAGTCATATCTTTAGACGTCCTAAGTCATGCGACGATCGTCCGACTAGATCGTGATGTAGCTAGCAAGGATCACCTAGAGGGGGTGAATAGGTGATCTTAAACAATTTTGATCAATTTATAGCGGAAATGGTTGATCACAGTTGAGTTTGAATAAAATTCAGATTCAAAACAGTTTATATAGACAGTGCTCTTGATGTGCAGTATGTAAAGTAAGAGATAAGAGATAGAAAAACTGCACATAAGTTTATAGTGGTTCGGCTTATAGCAAGCCTACGTCCACTCTCCCACGCTGACAGCCTATTGGTTGGATTTCACTATGTAATCAAGAGGAATTACAGATTCTGAGTGACAGCACTCTTATGTATGATAGAACTCTCTATCTCACACAATCACTCTTACAAAGTATCTCTCAAGATCTTAGTGTTTTGCTCAAGAAAGACAAGAGGAAGGATTGGAGTAGACTTTGGACTTATTGATTCTCGATTTCGTTCATTGCCTTCTGCTCCTCGTAGGTCTCCTTTTATACTCCTCCACTTCCAAACTAGCCGTTGGATAGTCTTTAGAGGATCATCTTCCAATCTTCATCTTGGACAGATTTGTATAAAATGGATTGAGTAGCCGTTAGTTGACAAAATCTGAATCCCGCTAATTCTGGTCGCCCATACAATCATAATCTTGATTTCCATAAGTAGAGCTTTATCCGTTGTAATGCATACTTGTTATAATGTTTGATTGTCAATCAATTAGGCTGAGATCGAGTCAATCAAAACTTTCCTTTTGTGAAATCCATGCCAGATCACTAGCTGTTGTGATTCATTTTGAATGAGTTTTGCTTCTGCGTCTAAAAAACTTCAGCATTTGCGTCTGCATAATTTCTGCGTCTGAAGAATTTCTGATTCTTGCTTTAGATTCAGAACCTGAGTCAGCGTAGGTCTTCAGTAAAATCTGAGTCTCTCAAAATTATAGTCTGAATGACTTTTATGGTAAAGTCTGAACTTTTTATTTTTGAGACTGAACTTTTAGTTCTGAAAACTTATAAAGTCTGATATTTCCTTCTGAACTTCCAGAATATATAAACCTGGAATGGAATGCATGTCAGATTCACAAGATAAACATAGAAAGTTTTGTCAGCTTCAAAATTCATTGGGAGTTTTCCTCAATAGATCGGGACGTAAAAATCGAAAATTCCAACATTTCAGGATGTCAATCCTTCCTTGACCAAACGTCCGGTCAACTTCAAGCAAACTCTATAGGTGCACGGGACCGAAAATAAGACACGGGACTTGATCTATTTCGCTCATTACATTAAGTACTATTTAGATAGAGCTCAAAGACCCATCAAGAGAAACTTATTGGGAAAGGTTTTCTTTGATTAATCCTTACGGGGCTTTAGCTTATTCGGACCAAGGCCACCGTGATGTTGAAGAGATGTTACAAGTCAATCCTCTCCTCCTGCATACCTCACTGACACGCAAACCCAGCCTCCACCTCAGATGGTCTGGTCCCTTATCTCGATGGAGCCTGAATTACATATCAATCATGTCTTGGGTCCCCATCCTTAATTTTGCAGATAAACATTTGACTTATCTCGTACTTCTCTCGACCTCCCACACTGTTTCTCTTCATTCTTACCCTTCTGTTTTGTTCTCTTTATAGATTATACTTTGTCAGCTACATTTCTAAGTTGGGAAAAAAATTAAAAAAAAATCTTAAGCTTATTACATTTATACAGTTTAGTTCTAAATATTTTAATTATATTAATTGAGTCCTAAATCTTTCAACGATTTGTCAATATAGTACATCCAGTTAATTTTAGCCGTAAATAGTTCTACGTGGCACGATTGGCGTTGAAATAGACAATTTTTTAAATATTTTTATTGCTTTTTTGTTTTTCTTCCCTTTTTCTTCCTTTCGTTTTTCTTTCCTTTCTTTTTTTTTTCCTAATTATAGGTTGGCGATATATGAGTGAGGGCCTCCACCCCTCAGCGGCCATGGCAGAGGGCTGTCGGGCCCTCACTGGCTGTTCGCCCAGATCCAAGAGAGGGCTGCAAGCCTCGCCTGGTCTGGGCGAGGGCTCAATGCCCTTGCATGGATCTTGGTGAGGACCGCAACGCCTTCTCCGTCCTAGAGTTGTAAAAGAAAAACAAAGAAATGAAAGAAAAGACTAAAAGAAAAGAAAAGAAAAGAATCAATAAAAAATTTAGAAAAATTGTAAAATTTGTTTGCGTTAGCGATGATCATGCCACGTAAGACGGCTGACGTTTATGTTAGTGATTTTAAAATCATTAAAATATTCATGATTCAATTGGTACGAAGAAATGTTTATGGTTTGAATTGACATGAATGTATTAGATTTTAGGACTTTTAAGTACTTTTTTTTTCCTAGGTAGTACGATGATATTGATCACCAGGATGCGTACTCATCACATACCAAACCCATTTTGTGTTGAGCCTCACGACAGGGGAAATACAAGGTTAGAAAATTTAAATATTAAATAACATATTCATCCAATAACAGAATAATTTACGATAGTACTACAAAATCTCATGCTTTAGGTTTAGATGAAAGTCTTATTTACATTGAAAATGGTCTCCCAAAACCTCAAATCTGGTCTTCCAGCGAATCATAATTAGTCCATGTTAATTAATTTTTCCATCTTCAGGATACGATGAAAGGGGGAGACGGCCACGTGCCGGGGAAGAGCGCCGTCCCCGGTATGGAAAAGAAAGGAAGGGATGACAAAGACGCAGCCACCTGTCACGACTCGGGACGCGTCACCACAAACAACCAAGAAAGCTTTTCGATCATCATCATCTAATCCCCGTCTCTTCTCTCCTCTCAAAATTCTAAAAAGGCAACCAGGGAAAAGAAGCTCTCTGCCACGTTGTTACCCCGGGCGAAAAGGACGACCTCATTTGTTTGACCGGCGAGGTAAGGTGGCGGATCCTGATTGGGAGACGTGTGACAGGGTAACAGGTACTTGTCGCGGGGCAACTCCTTTCATTGGCTTTGTAATATGTGTTATTTTTCATATATATATTCCTTTTTTTTTTTCTTTATCTGAAGAACCAAAGTTGGGCACGTTGTTGCTCCGTCCTTTTATTCTTGATTGCGACTTTTGGAGCCCTTCTCGGCTCTTGTGGCTCCAGCCGATTCTCAGTTTACGCCGCTAGCTCACGAGAGTATCTCCTAAATGAATTCTGTGCTGTAATTACGAGTTAATGGCTCGACATAAGTGTCTTCAAACTTGTGACTTTTCGGTTCATAATTTTTTTTTCCAGTTTTCTGCTGCGGTGTTCTAACATGTGTGGGCGTATGGTTGGAGGAGAGTTTTGAATGTGCATGGTTGTTGTGTGTGGAGTCCTGTTCATCAACCTCGCAGCACGTGATTCATGCATACGCATTGTTCTGGAGGGGGCTTAATAAAAGAGTCTTTGGCGGATCCACGATAATGACCCGCCCGACGGCCGACATGGGAAGCTTCATACCCACCATAATTAAATATCATCTCCGTTTTGTCTTCTTGCTCTACTCTTTCGAATCCCAGGATCACAGCAAAGATTCCGTTCATGATACCGCGAGCCTCCAGCTCATGCCGAGCCGTCCAAGCCAAACTAGCCATGGTGCGCGAGTGAACCAGGTCCATGTAGATGTAATGATGCTCCGTAAATTAAGTGAACGAAGAAAGCAGAGAGAGAGAGAGAGAGATGAGAGCAAGTAGTGAAGGTACAGCGCCTCTGACTGCCCATATATTACAGCAAGTCGACAACTCCAATTCCCCACACAATCTTCCCAGTACAAGCTCTAGACGGTCTCTACTGCCTTGTGGAATTAGACTCGACCGCCTTCTTATTCCCATATACACCTGAACGTCAATCAAGCAGAGCAGCACCATTGGCTTTTAACATGTTTAGTGCGGGAGAATATTCTGATGCTGCCTTTGAAGGCATGAGCTCGCTCCCGTGCACTAAAAAGAAGAAGAAGAACAAGCTGGTGAACAAGAGAAGGTTCAGTGACGAGCAGATCAGGTCATTGGAGTCCATCTTCAAATCCGAGTCGAGGCTAGAGCCCCGCAAGAAGCTGCAGCTGGCTAGGGAGTTGGGGCTGCAGCCCCGCCAGGTGGCCATTTGGTTCCAGAACAAGAGAGCCCGATGGAAGTCCAAGCAGCTGGAGCGTGACTTCGCCATTCTTCGCGCCAACTACAACGCCCTCTCTTCCACGTTCGAATCTCTCAAGAAGGAGAAGCAATCCTTGATCACCCAGGTAGATACTCCACCAATCTCACTCTCCTCCTTCAATAGCATCAAACAGCCCCGACGCCAGTTGCGTGTGTTAATTGAAGCAGCTAATCACATGTGTATGGATGCGTTGTTGATAGGTTGAGAAACTAAACCGGCTGATTGAGAAGCCGCAAGAAGAGGGCCAGAGCTGCAGGCATGATTCGGCAACAAACAGCATCGATCGCGAATCCGGCAATGGGGATCCCAAGCATGAAGACAGTCAGCCTGTATTACCGGATAAATCAATGCGTTTGATGGGAATCCCATGTGAGGATGACTACTTTGGACTAGGAGAGGAGCAGAGCCTCCTAAACATGGCCGAACCCGATCCTGAACCTGCTCCTGCAGATAGTTCCTTGACATCAGCTGAGCACTGGGGCAGCTTGGAGACCAATGATCTTCTCAATCTGTCGTCTGGCAGTTCGCAGTGGTGGGACTTCTGGTCTTGAGTGGATGGCTCTTTAAAACAGATTACCCAACGAAGCCCCCCAAAAGAATGAGGTACTCTCTTCAGTGCCCCTGAAGAAACTCAGGACTCCAAAGTACCAGTTGTGTAGTCATATGGGCTTTCATCAGGAGAAACTGTTGTTCCTAATGCACACACTTTCCTTGAATAAGCAAGCATCCCAAGAAAGAGGACATGAAATCAATTGACAATCCCTGAGTGCGAGTTGCTGCTGCAGCTAGTGGTAATTTAAAGATATTGAGCACTGAAGAAAAACCAGTACCACGAGTCAGCACTGGTGAGAACATCCCACCAACATGTAAATAAAAATGTCCAAGACTGCTTCAATGAGGAGGATTTTTGTCCATGTTACATCAGTAGGGTAGCAAACCACTTTCTTTCATTTTACCCCTCTTGCTCCAATAAATCTGTTTATGGAAGAGAGAATGCAGGAAACGAAATTCAGCAGATGTGGCTCATAACATCCAAGATCAGGGCCCTTGAGCAAGATTTGCTCATCTGCAATTCATTTTGTAGATACCGGCACTCCAAAACCTGAAGTGGAAAAATGATCCGACTGACCCTGTTGGTTCTGTTGTGCCACAGATAACACAAAAGTCACCATGATCAGCAGACTGAGCTTTCTTATGGATTCACCCCGTTCATGCAAATTGATTGTGGCAAACTATGAGCATAATTAAACCAATAGATTCAGTTTAACGTAGCTCCATAAAACAGCGGAGAGTCCCTACTTGCCTATGGCCTCATGATAAGCCAAAGCGCAGCTGCTTCAAGATAGAATCATTCTTTCTTGCTGTGCTTCCAATTTCAAGCACCAAAAACTTCCCACGAGTATGACGAAGCTTCCTTACGAACATCAAAGTCCCTGCTGTAGGGTCTACACCATATTCAGTCATTTCCACTGTAAAATCTCGGTGTTAGAGATAATTAAGAAATTTTCTTTGTTTCTTTTTTTTTTTTTTACCGAGGTATCCCACGTGCAATGGACTATTCCTCGGGATGGTGGGGTACAAGACCAATGCCACCGGGTAAGCCCCCAATATGTGATCGGTGGGAGTTGAACCTGAGACCTCATTAGTTTAACTATCTGAAATCAGGAACTCTCAATCACTCGATCAATCACTCCATTGGTGTTTCTTTACATCTTTCATGATTGTACAAATTGAAATTCCATTTTTCCTGGCAAAGTTACTGCAAAGTCTTTCATGATCTGGTCCACGAGGGTCATATATCCAGAGAGCTAGAGGTCTGGAGCTTGTCAACAATGACCTGACAGTACTTGTCCAAAAATTAAATCCAGCTCCGGTTCCAGCTGTGACGTTATGGGCGCGAATGAAAATATTTCTCTTCCCCGGTCCTATTTCTGGTTAGAAATAGAAAACCTATTTCTCTTTTCCGGACGAGTTTTTGAGCAAAAAAATAGCATTTTATAACGACACTAAATTTCCGTTTCCGGAATAGAAATTCGTTTAATAATGACACAAAATTTCTGTTCTTGCTGACTGGCGAGCGGCGGCGGTGGGCGGATGGCCGGCGAGTGGCGGTAGGGGGCAGCCGGAGATTGGCGGTGGTGGGCAGCCGACGAGTGGACTGCGGGCGGTGGCGGCAGGCGGCGACGGATAGTCGGTGGGTGGCCAGCGGGCGAAGATGAACGGCTAGCGAGCAGCGGCGGCGGCGGACGGCCGGCGGCGATGGCGGCCGGCGGCCAACAACGAGTGGGTAGCAAGGGTAAGCAATAAAAGAAAGTTATTATTTATGTTTCTATTCTAGAAATAGAAAAGTATAAAATTTCATTTTTGTTTCAAATCTATTTCTGAGTCAAAATTTGTCTTAGAAATAAAAAAAAATGAAATTATTTTACCAAACGGATTTCTGTTTTAAATTTATTTCAAAAACCAAAAATATAAAATAATAGGATGATATAATGATCATCGTTCGCGCCTAAATGAACAAAGAAAGCAGCTCGACCAATATAAGGCTGGAGCTGCGAGAGCACAAGCTCCAAATTACAGAGTTGGGTTTTTGTTCTCTGGAATTTTCCCTATACAGACGCACTTCACTTTTGTACCTAGCATGGAAGTTCTAAGCTTTAGCTGTGATATTTAGATTTATTTTTACCAAGTCAAAAAGTGGTGGGCCCGAAAAAAAAGAAAAGAAAAGTGAACAGTGAACAGCTCAATTAACAACAGACCAAGAGCTCGCGAGACAGAGGAAAAGGAGAAAGAAAGAAAAGAAAGAAGAAGAAAAAAAAAGGGGAAGAAGGGAAGAGGAATTACGCGGACATGTCACGGAGACTTTGTCAAGGTGGATCGATCATGTATTACAACGTCCGATAAGTGCTCGCACCATTCGTTCATCCAATAAGAGAAGTGTTTGGAATTATGGCTTAATTCAAAGTTTTGTAAGAGCAAGAACTTTAGGGTTTCGTGTTCAAATTCCGCGTTATGGATAGTTTTGTATATCATCAACGACATTTTGTTTAAGTAGCACCTCTTGATGATCACGGAGTAATCAGTCAGTAAAATGGCCTCCATCCAATGGGCTACATACATGCTTGTTTCCAACCATTACCACGACAGACGTACATGATCATCAATGCCCAAAAGGATAGAGTAGCAAAGCGTGAGAAGGAGGAAAAAGAAACAAATGGCGATGCATCTAAGTACTGAAAGTCGAGTGGATCCCCCCATGTAGCAAAGCAGCTTGAAGGGTGTCCGTCATGTTGCGGAAACTGCACAAAAACCAGGGGGCAATGCTAAACTTGGTCTCGGATTGGACTTATTCACTCGAAACGCCCCACAACAACCAACCCCCCCAAGTTGATCGTGTTGTTGGATACGGCCCATCCGGCCCACGAAGTTTGCAGGCCTTAATCCCTCAAATATAACAACTCATTCTCTTGCCTCGCTTGATCCTTTCTCCATTTAACAACCCATCTTTTTAAAGAGCTACATGACTTTAAGACAAGTGTGCTAAGATTTAGAGAAACGAGAAAACATGTTCTTATTTTCACTCCCCAAAAATTAAATGAGCCATTGGTTGTTATGAACGGTAAGATCTCCACTCTAATGATGCGTAACTAGAGGTGGCAAAATGGGTCTAGAGCCCAAATTTTAACTCATATTTAATAGTGTGAGTCATAAATGGGTTGTCTTAAATTTTAAAAATAAGCTTAAATGAGTCATAAATTGGTTACTTAACAACTTAATGGGTCTTAAATGGGTTACCTAACATGTTTAAGTGAATTGTCAATCGGTCAATTTTTTTTTATAATTTTTTATAATTTATTTTTTCTTTTCTTTCCTTTTCTTTTTCCCCCTTACTCGGATGGTGGGTGGCCACTATGATGGAGGGACGAGCTCCTCTGAGGCCGGTGAGCTCAAGGCTCGCCAAAGGTCCAGCAAGGCCGAGGCCTTGCCAGATCATCGAGCTCGTCCCTTGGCCGGTGACTGGCCGAAGAAGAAGGAAAAAAAAAAGAAAAGAAGTAAAAATAAAATAAAAAATAATTAAAGAGTCGATTTTGTTAAAAAATAAATAAAAAATAAAAATAAAAATGATTAAAAGTAGTCCATAGAGAAAAATCAAATCAGATTTTCCATACCAAATGGCGGAAAATATTTTTTAGTTCATTTTTAGTTTTCATCCAAATTTGGAAAATATTGTCATTTTGACTTCCTATAAAATATTTTTAAAATATGTCACATTTTTTGCGAAACAAATGGAGCCTCAATTTTTTTTAAAATGATTTGTATTGCGTGGAAGTGTTGTAGCAATATAATTTTTTTTTAAAATCATAAGAAAAGACTTTTCCTAAATTGAGTTAAATATAGAAGTATTTTAGCAATATGGGTTGGGTCGAGTCGGTTATGGGTTGAGAAATTTTACGAATAAAATGAGTTATAAACGGGTTAAATAGGTCAATGGGTCAGACCATTCATAACATGACCCAAATCCGAAAGGATCCACCCATTTGACAAGTCTATGCGTAATTTTAATCTTAGAGAAATTAAGTGATTCGGTTTCCAACCTTTAATTTAAGCAACCTTGGCCTTTTCCACTATCAAGCTTATGTGGAACCGGATACTATTTGAATCCGAACGTGAAAACGGGTAAATTTTTACCACCGATTTACTTGGAAAGGTAAAAGAAATGCTTCCTTTTAATTACCCCAACTTGCATTTCCTTTTTGGGAAGAATTGCTTCCCAGAAAAAGACCGACACTAGTTGTCATAAAGTATATACAACTTGACATAGTTATAAACACTACCCATCTTTGGGCAATGTAAGCATCTTATAATCTCTCTTTTTTCTCTCTTTATGCTTGTTTTGTTTTTCTGGTCGAGTTTACCTCCTAACTATTTGAAAAAATATTCTATTTCCCCAACATTTTATAAGTGCTCGCTCGGTACAAATTTTTTGCGGCCATTACAGTAGGGAAGTAGATTCTGCAGGTGCTTGATAGACTCCTTACAACTGCCGCATCTTTCACAGCGCAACGCAACGTACTAGACAACCATAATTATAGAAAATAGATATTAATACCAATAACTTATGTAGTTCGACCACTACAATCCATTGACCAAAAATTGCTCGAAATTGTTTTGAATAATAAGCGGGGAAAGTATTCCAAGGCATAAGGCTGCAATGCCCTTTAGAGGGAACATCAATTCTCCCCAGAAAGTTTATAATACAGTTGACAGTTCTACTTTCTTTGACAAATTGGAAGACTCGCTCTCAACTTTTTTTCCTTGATTCATGATCTTTGAAAAGTCATTTATTTACTCTATCCTCGGCAATGATGCATGACACGTTGATTTACATATCTCCACGCGTATGAAAGTTGGGGGAGTCCAGATTATCTTTGTGGTCTTAATTTTGTGGGATGACATTACTGACTTTTGCATCAAAAGTTGACTCCCTAGCTTTTCCACCAGCATAAAATGGACTACCGACATAATTCTCAGTCGACCCTTTATCAAAGAACAACTCAGTCAACTCAGTAGATCCTATCTTGCTCTTAAAAGTAGGTAGAACTTTGTGGTTAGGTCACGGATTAGGCAGCGTAAGTGTCGAGAATTTGCTGGACATCAGTTTTCCACCGTCATTGTAGAAGGAGGCTTCCTATTGCGGCAGGTACATGGGTGAAAGTGAAGCTACTTTTCGAGCACTGGGATTAATACCGAATCGGTTGGGGACATGTTATTGGACGTACCATCATATGTAGTTTTTTTGTTTTAGGAAAAGAACAGATTAAGAAGGATGGAGGTAACAAAACGGCCGGTCCACATTACTGTGAACGAAATAACCTACACGTGCATGCCCATACAGCTCGAGACTATGATAACTCAAATGACTGGAGAATATGATTGTTGGTTGTGTCTAACTGCCACCTGCCAGGAACATCGGGAGCCCGTCAACATCCACCTTCATCAAAAGCTCGAGCCAAAGATTTATGGGCTAACTTTAATACATTAACTACTTAACACTACACTAATCCTCCGATGTGGGACTTTTCGATCATTATGAGATTCCATTGCAGCTATAGATAAACATGAACTCCTTCCAAACCCTCATCACTTACCAAGATTTTGTAGATAATGTCACTAACCCGCAAGAATATATGCATCGGGGAAAAAGGAAGATTCAAGAAAAAAAGAATAGTCACTGGATATGTAGGTTTCACAAAATTAGTGTGGTCAACAGCCTAGGTTTCTTGATCAAAAAAAAGAAAAAAAAAACGGCCTAGGTTTTAATTAAAAAATGGGGGAGACTGATGACGAAAATGAAAGGTGAAGGTTTGGGAATATGCCGTTTGTTTTGCTCTGGCGAAAGAATATAGTCCTACTGGGCGAGGATAAATGAGTTGTTCGGCACCCAACCCATCTTCTATGCTTAAAATATTAGCAGAGAGAGGGAGCTAAATCCCAAAAGGAGATTTGAACTATATCAGTGTGCACGAGTGGCGAAGATTAAGTTTGCAAGTTGCAACCCAATGAGCTGTTTGACATAGTTATTTTCAATAGCAATACAGAATCATATCTTTACAGTCGAAGGGAGAATATTATCTGCAAGATTATGCTTTTATCGTTCGGGGATTAATGCACTTTGATGAGTGAGTGGCCTTTCAAAGTTGGTAACGGAGAGAAGCACAAAGGCAGGCTCTAGCTATCTAGAAATCTATCTTGTTTTTTTTTTTTTTTAATATTCTTGAAAATATAGATATGTTCAAAGGGAGATAAAATATTCACGTAAAAATTACAGTGAAGAAACAACTGTGCTTGATATCCCGACCAAACTCGAACTGCAAGTGCAAAACAACGAGCCAACTAACCATATCATACAAACGGACGCACGCACGCACTCTCAAGGAGACAAGTTGCATATTGAAAAAACCACTGAGATTTGACCTAGCGATCCGGATTTGGCAGACCTCTCCACTAGACATGGTTACTTTCCATATTAGCTGTTAAAACAACGTGATATTCCCACATAATCTGTAGGCAAGCTAAAAGGTGGCGGATAGACACTCCACTAGTTATATCAATCAGATGTGTATACGAGATCAATGATCGCGGAATCCAAAGATATGCTCGTATACCCCCTGCACTATTGCATCACTACAGCTACAGCTACTTACTTTGTTAAATGTAATAGTGTGTGACAAAACAAAAAGGCATTTATTCAGTCAAAAGCAAAGAGAGAGAGAGAGAGAGAGAGAGAGAGAGAGAGAGAGAGAGAGGGAGAGAAGTGGCACAGGGAAACTACAAGCAAGAAGTGTCTGAAGCAAAGGAGCTTTTGTGAAAGGACCACGGAATGGAAGAAGGAGAGAGGAGGACTTATTCTTGCTTCCTTCAATTCAAAGATTCAAACTATGAAAAAGTTGAAGAATCTTTCGTAGAGCACTCTCTGCCCCCACACTCCACCAAACCAAAATATAACCAGTTAGAATTGGGATCTTTCAGCATCGAATTCAATCATCACTCGGGTTGTTTATGGCAAGTGGGGGTAAGCAGCCCCCACCATTATCATATGGATTGGAGCCTGGACCGTATGCGCAGCATGTATACGTCCATCTCGTCTGCTTCTTCCCTGAGATCCTCCTCATTATATTCAAAGGGTTGATCTGTTTCGTAGCTGGTTTTATACACCAGATCAGACAAGAGGCCCCCACGTAGTTTGCGTAAAGGTGGCACTCGACGCAGATTTCGTCAGCAGATATAGGGGGCATGCTTTTTTAGATTGATATTGAAGGCAACGCACACGTGTCTCTTGTTTGAGGGTCTTCAATTGGAGGAAGCAATATGATTGGTGATGACGACGACGATGATGAATGAATGAGTAGCCTTTTATTAGATTTCCCATTGCTACGACCAACCAACTTCTGGGTTGAGGAAGGTCCATGTTCACATGGCGTTGTATATAGTTAATCATCACTAGTCATCTATATGCTTATTAATTTCGTCAGAAATTTAGAATTGTTACTCTGGTCCAATTATATATATATATATAAGATTGTTCACACCCAGCTGGCTTAATCCCTCCCAAGGCAGGACTTTTTCTTTTCTCGAAAATCCAGCTCTCGAACTCACTGGGCGAATAAGAAAGCGAGCTATATATAGCTGTCTAACTAGTTCGAGTCGAGCATTTTGAAAGCTCCTGTCTTATACATGCTGTCCACTTTTCACTGAGTTCATTCAAAAGGAGATTACAGATCCAGACAGACTTTAGCACCTTGAGTCGAGAAGGCTAGCTTACAAGAATGGTGTCCTAGAAGTGATGTGGTGCTTCTCATTGGGCGTTTTGACAGAAAACACTTACTCAAATTCTATTTGAAGTGCGATGCATGTTCTTTGTATATCGATCTGGTTGGGTGATTTAGTATATCGCATTGTTAATGACGACTTCCATTCTCACACAGGAATCTTCCTCGAGGTTATTGATATTGGGGGGCCCAAGCCTACTATGATACTGGAAGGGGAAGGAACAACAAAACAACAAAGGCGGAGTAAATATTCCAAAGCATGTGTTGCTCCCTTCAATTGTACTTATGCAAAAGGGGGCTAGTGGTAGACATCCTATTGCCTCCTTGATTTTACTAATGTACATGCTAGAGATATGCCTCTTCAAATCACCAAATGACTATAGTGTTTATCGGTTTGGGGGTTTTGTGTTTTTCTCGTCAAGAGGAGATGTAAAACCTGTGACTTGACTCGCAAGAAGCTTCCCCTCTGCAGAAGCAACATAAATAAACGCCAACCAGTAGAATAAACTAGCGGGCATACGTGGGTTACACGGTCAAGGCATCGGATGTGAACACGTGAAACAGACCAATCGAATGAAGTCCCATAATCAGTCAAAGAGAAAGACCGGGAAGGAAATGGTCGCGGAATTGCGGCAACTACTGCGGTATAGAATGGTGCAGATGTCATTGATTCATCATTGGGCAGCTCTCCATCCGGGAAAATGTGGCCTACTTTCCCGAGACCATGAGAGGCATTTGAGCGTGAAATTGCAGAGGCAATCCAGACCTCAAACGCAGAGTCTCCATAGGGGGAATAGAATCATGCATGGAATCCATCAAGTTGTATTGGATAAACAAGTGTGACCCTCCTCCAAATTCATTAAAAAAGGCCAACTTGTTTTCGAGATGACTTATTGAAATGAGTCTCCCGCTCCCAGTTAAAACACAAGGGTTTTAAAATAAGGAAGAAACGTGGGAGGAAATATGACTCCATCTTGACCTCATATGATATGTTCCAAAGTGATGGCCCATCAGAGACGGCAAGTCTCTTGACCGTAAGTCATCTTTCCACCTGCATCCTTCCAAGGCAACAACCATCAGCGCCTAAATCAGATTAACCACTCCTTGGAATATATGGAGTGAGTCCGAATCCTTGAATGTGTGCTCCCGGTGCAGGTATATGCATCTTGTCAAAGTGTAATCACAACCCAAAGAAAGACAATGATCCAGATACCCAAACCGAATTGCTACTTGGAGACATATGGCGAACTCCTACTTGGGATTGGCGATAGTTAATTAAAAAGAATTAATGTTGGGTCTCCTCTTCCTCAACTTTTCCTGGAAAAAGAGGACTCTTGGAGCACTTTCCTTACTCTGTTTCCACCAAGCAAAAGAGCAAAACAGAGTCTGTATTAAAAGGGTCATGACCTTCCCCGACCATTCCTGGAAATGGGAGACTCTGGCTGCTTTTGTTGTGAATGAGTGAGTCAATAGACATAAGTACAGGATCATTACCGAGAAATGTCCTGTACCCTTGGTGCTTTGAAAAACTCCACTCTCTCATGTTCAAAGGAGCTAGCGAAAAACAATTTTGGGCGTCACTTTCGTCTTGCCCGTAGAAAGTTCTCGTGATTAATTAAAAGGAGTCATTGCTGATGCTTGAATGATGACTTTCCATTTCACGTCACTCTACTTCAATTTTCTTCTTTCTTTTTTTCTTGGGGGGCGGTGGGGGTGGCGGCTGGGGGGCTAGCTACCAATGAATCGAAAGGACGAGTAGTTCCGCTGCACTAAAACAGAGTATACGTCTTTCATAACAGCACCAAACCAGTAACATTCTTTCTCTGCTCAACCAATAACATTCTTAACCATAAAGCAGATGGGAACAAATTCCAGCACAAGAGATCGCTCTGGCTCTGAGATCCTACTTTGCTATTCGAGGCTCTCATCGGATTCACCTGTTTTAGTATACGCATGCACATATGGCTCCCAGATTTAGTATCTAACGGTCACTGGTTTGGAAAATTTATGGATATGACCTATTATAACCGGCCGTGTTCCCTAACGACTAGATTGAAGGTAGACACTGCTCCGACAACAAGCAGTGAAAAAAATTTGAGATAATAGTAAGATATAGATATTTCCCCAAGTGATAGGAAGAGAAGCCGGGGATTTGCCTGTTTCACACTGAACTCATGTCATGCATTCGTGACGGCGCTGTTATTTCTCTTTGGTCTTCTTCTTCTTTCTCTCTCTCCTTAATGTTGTTTTTTAAATAAGACAGTGAATGGAAACGCACAAGGATTATTCTTATACGAATATAAGTGTTTAAATACATACCCTCGCTCTCCTTTCACACTCCTTTTTCTTCTAACTATAAATCCATTAGTTTACGCAGGGGCCGTCCCAGTGCTCTGCCCTATAAATACCAGCCCCCACCCAACCCATTCGATTACCTCAAACCTCATTCTAAACCAAGCATGACCAGGAGTTCAGAGATCGAAAGCCTCTGGCTATTCGCCATCGCGTCCAAATGCAGAGCCTTTACCCATGATAACATTGCCTTGTCCCTCCTCTTGGTGGGTTTAATTTGGCTCGCCATCTCTTTCCTCCACTGGTCTCACCCTGGCGGCCCCGCTTGGGGCAAATATTTCTGGCGCAAAGTGCTCTTCCTCGCACCATCCTCCTCTTCTCTATCTCTCTTCCACGCGATCCCCGGTCCCAGGGGATTGCCTCTTTTCGGAAGCATGGGCCTCATGCTCCACTTAGCTCATCACCGGGTTGCCGCTGCCGCTGAAGCCTTTGGCGCCAAGCGCCTGATGGCCTTCAGCCTCGGCGACACTCGGGTCATCGTGACATGTAACCCTGAAGTCGCCAGAGAAATCCTCAACGGCTCCGTGTTTGCCGATCGCCCTGTGAAAGAGTCAGCTTACAGGCTGATGTTCAACAGGGCAATTGGCTTCGCTCGCCACGACGTCTACTGGCGAACCCTCCGGAGAATTGCCGCCGCTCACCTTTTTTTCCCGAACAAAATCAAGGCTTCCGAGTCGCAGCGGAGCGCTATTGCTTCTCAGATGGTCGCGGTTCTGCTCGCTTCCCGAGAGCAACCCATGACCGTTCGCCAACTGCTGAAGCGAGCCTCACTGAACCACATGATGAGCTGTGTGTTCGGACAATCCTACGACTTGAGCTGCACGAGCAGCGAAGTGAAAGAGCTGACGGAGATGGTGGACGAAGGGTACGAGTTATTAGGCACGCTGAATTGGTCCGACCATGTCCCCTGGATGGCAGAGCTGGACCCTCAAAAGATCAGATTCAGGTGCTCTAGGCTGATGCCCAAAGTCAACCGCTTGGTTAGCCGAATCATCGCAGAGCATCGAGCTCGACCGGCCGCCGACCACCGGGACTTTGTGGACGTTCTGCTCTCACTTCAGGGTCCTGATAAACTGTCCGACTCCGATATCATCGCCGTTCTGTGGGTAAGCACCAAGCTTTTAACATCTTTCTTTGCGGAGCTTACTTAAAAAAAAACTTTCAAGAGTTTCATATCGTGGGCAGTACTCGTCTGCCATTAACGTTCTTCATGAGGAGGTGCGTACTAAAATTTGGGAGTCATATATGAACAGGAAATGATATTTCGAGGGACGGACACGGTGGCGGTGCTGATGGAGTGGATCATGGCGAGGATGGTGGCGCACCCGGAAGTTCAAGGGAGGGTCCAGGAGGAGCTCGACAGGGTGGTGGGAATGTCAAGGGAGGTCAGCGAATCGGACATAGGGGACCTGCCTTATCTCCAAGCCGTAGTGAAGGAAGTGCTGAGGCTGCACCCGCCGGGCCCGCTGCTGTCGTGGGCCAGGTTGGCCATCACTGACACGACCGTGGACGGGCATCACGTGCCAGCAGGGACGACGGCCATGGTCAACATGTGGGCCATCTGCAGGGACCCCCTTGTCTGGCCCGACCCGCTCCTGTTCAGGCCCGAGAGGTTCCTGGGCGGGGGCGATGGAGGGGAAGGGGCGGAGTTCTCGGTGCTCGGGTCGGACCTGAGGCTGGCCCCGTTCGGGTCGGGGAGGAGGGCCTGCCCCGGGAAGGCGCTGGGGCTGACGACTGTCACGTATTGGGTGGGAGCCATGTTGCAGGAGCACGATTGGAGGGGGGCGGCGGGGGGTGAGGACAACCGAGTTGACTTGTCGGAGTTTCTCAGGCTGTCTTGCGAGATGGCGAACCCTCTCGCCGTCACACTCCGCCCGAGGCGCGTGCCGTCGCGCACGTCAAGCTGAACCTGGAACAAACAACAAACAACACCACCCCCACCAAAAAAAAGCAAATTAAAAAAAAAAGAAACTGAAGAAAAGACCTTAATACTATCGTCAAAATAAGCTTTTCTTTTCAAAGGGGTAAGATAAAGTCAACGACCAGAACAAGAGTGTAGGGCTAGGTTATCATGGAGAGGGTGGTGGGTGGCTGGGTGGGTGTGTGTGGTTATAGCAGCTTAAAAGAAAACCCCCTCTCGTCATCAAATTTAAGTTTGGTTGTTTTTTTCTTGTGGTTCCATAATAGTCTTGGAGTTACAGCGGCCTTCTCTTCTCTTCTCTTCTCCTTTCTTACTTTTGTTTTGATTAGCTCGACGTTTGTCGGAGATGTGTATTATCGTTTTGATTTCCCAACGTTTTAGCCGGTGTACATACTGGTCAAAGCTAGCACAAAGCTTCTTCACGTATCATCGCTTGCCTAGGTCAAAGGAACCCGTTCCGAATAATCAAAGGCACTTGTGCACTCGAATTAGATAGATCGGCGCATCGTGGTCTCTCTTTCGGAGACATGACGAATATGTGACTGAATCTGAGTACTCGCGTGAGTACAAACCCGCCAGGCCTTCGATGCAACCCGGGCGCGCGGGAGAGAGTGAAGCGCGCTCTTTAATCACGGGCAGGACGTTTCACCGCAATTCTAATTACTAACGAGGCCCAAAACCTATTCATAGATACCTTAAATGCTACGTTCCATCGTCACTGTATATTAGTCTTTAACGTAACTTGCCTAGCAAAGTCAAATTTTTTGCCGAAGATAATTAAATAGTTAAATCAAGTGGATTCACTATCGATGTTCCAATGGTTTGCGCGTAAATGGGAAATCCTATTGCTAGACGTAACAGAATATTTTTACTCAAAAAGCGTCGTTTTGATCGTTCACCCTCTCTTTGGACGTATCATTCATCACGACCGCGCCGTACCTTCGTAATAATATAAAAGCCATACGTCTGTCAAGGAGAAAGGCGATCGAGGTTTTAACCGAAGTTTTAACTGACTTCACTCGGGAGCCAGTGCCCAGTGCCCGGTGGAGACTAGTATGGATATGATTATTGGTGGAACTAATGCGCATGCAAAACCAAAATCAATCTGTGAAAGATTAGCAGACAGCTTGGATTGTCGGGGTCATTTTCATGCTCTCCAATGAATTGTGGACATCTTGCGATAAGCCCATGGTTTTGAGGAAACTGTCCAAATGACATATTGACAGATCAACTTGGGATTAACAAAAAGTCTGATTATAGTATTAGAATTTGCATCACTGGTGATAAACTCCTGGGCCCGGCCGAGCGTCACTGATGACCGCCGAGTTGATTTGTACCGTGGTCCCTTCTGCCTATTCATATTCCCGGTACCATCTCTCTTTTAACAAACGCACAAATACTGAAAGGTATCGTAGCTAATACCCTCTGCCTGGATCACACCATACCCCTTGTGTCCTATAATATATACATTTATGAAGGCGGACAGGTCATAATGTCCCCGTATATATCGGCAAATCTATTGAATTATCAAAAGGAAGTACGTCAACACAATACCGACACGCGGCGACTCTTTACCTAGTTAAGATGCATCGTGTTCTCTTTCGTTTGTTACGAACTTTTTCACGACTGAGTATTGTGTAAACTTGAGATCATTCTATACCGCTTACCAAGGAGGTTTGTATTGCTTCAATATCGCTGGTACTGCAAGAATTAAATAGTTCGTCGTGCTGCTTCTCGAGGCGTGATTAGGAGAGAGTCGTCGTCACCTAAGTAACCCGAAGCAGGTCACTTAAGACAAGTCATCACTCGTATACCTAGGTAGGAATCAATCCCTTCTCATGTTTTCCACGCAGAATCCTATATATCAAGCTCAACCTTGTGAAATGAAAATGAAAAAAACCAATCAACCCATTGGCCGACACACGGGGAACAAAAACAATACACGTGTGGAGTACAAACAATTAGACGAGGGGCTCTTAGAGGCGTGCTGCTTTGTGATGATAGGAATGGAGTAGTATTCTTTAAGTTTTGGAAGTTGCATGAGGCTAGACAAGGGGAACAAAGCCGATTACAAAATGAAGAGCCCTACGTGTACACAAAACTGATCAGGAGTTGTTGGCGCTCATTTGGCTCATGTAATAATCAAGACGGTTGACAGGAACATTATGTTTTTAAGGAGTCCACACTGATAAGGATCTAAAACAGATCACCGCTGTATATTAATGTAAAATGCTGGGGAACGACGATGAGGACGCCCCAACGAATGAAGCTCCAAAAGATGATGATTAAGCCCACACAGCAGGCTCCCTCTTGATTCCTAGACGCGGACAGTGACCGCGAAAGGCGGCTCCGCGCAACACGACAACCCATATGCAAATAGAAAAATCACTTCCCTTTGGTCCACGTTTGGGAGAAATCATGGAGTTTTGTTTACTATATTCTGTTTGATGATTGATCTGATCCCGGTAAGATCTGTGGGATGGATTGCATTAGCCTTTTGTTTTATCGCAAACAAGCATATGCTTCTCAAGGGCAAATCAAACACCCACTTGCGTCCAACTTTCCATATTCTTTTAGCTCTATATGTTATGGGACCACATTTCTTCACCAGTTAATATGTATATCAGAATAAAGAAAAAAACTTGTAGCCTCTTATGTGGATGAGCTTTGGACATGCCCGTGTACCCTTTCATGTGCTGCTAAGGGCATATTATATACATATTATATAGAATCCACGAACATTCTCAAGAAGATTATTCACGGGAAAAAAAGGAGCTTCTCTTATTATTAGTTTCTTGAATTGGCATTAAGGTTTTCTATTTTGTAGTTTTGTACCGTTAAAATGCATTTTCGTGTCGTTTGAATATAGAGCCGCGGATGAACTTTATATCTTTGTGCTTGCTCTCCAATTAGTAGCTTAACTTTTGCATTAGATTTTTCTAGTAAATGTATTCGAGCCTCGATTTGATTTCTCTGCAACGGACCCGGAACGGGCCAAATGGTTTCCCTAAAACCTAATTATGAGGCATTGTAGATGTTGATGTGTGCGGTTTATAACATCTCGAGATAATTGTATTGACGCGGGAAAGAATTGCATGTGATTTAACATGAACCGTACGATAATGATGTGAGTTTGCAAAATTAGGCCAGGCACAGAAAAAAGATTTAGAGTTGCACGGAGGCTATTCATTGAATGCATTGCATGAAGTGGTGCCCTTAAGCTGGCTCCTTAGTTTATGGCTCATCACTATCGGATAAGGTTTAACCAAATTGATGACAATAATTGATGGAGCTCAGGCAGGGGCTAATCCATTCAACACATTATATCGCAGCCTGCGTATCCCCAGTCACTCTCCCACCTTCTCAGATTTTGATGTCCAGAGCTGGCGTAGAAGACAATCGATTTACGTTTATCCGCCTCTCGCAACACATGACACTGCACAGCTCTTGCCCTTTTTCCTGTTCGGAGGGGCAGGGATTAGACAGTTCGTCCCTTTTGGGCACTTTCATGGTTGCAGACAAATTCGATTTGCGACATACACTTCCTTTGGTGGGTCGTGCAAGAAACCGTCTCGTGCCTCCAAATTTAAGGTTATTAGATAGAAGATGCGTTTAATTCCACAGAATATCCCTTCATAGTCTTGAAAATAAGTCCATGGTTCGGATTTCATTGGGGTAAACATCTTCTTAATCTCAATCTTTATGTATACAAACAAGATCCTACGTATATGTATACATCATTCGTTACTCTCCCAGGTGTCTTTGGCGCTGACTTTTCTGAATTTTGAATCATGTACAGTCTGTCTATACTTATTTAAAACACACTACTTGTCAGGAGAATCAATATATTTTGATCGAGATATTGAGAATGCAATGATAATTCATGATTTCTTTCCTCGTCGTTGCCAAGTACGTATCCTTAGAAGCAGTCCAGCTTCTACACCAATTAGTCCCCTCTATGAACACCTTAATCTAATAGTGACTGCAACTCATGCTTTCTCTTCCGCTGTTCCATAGTTCGTAACTGTGCTTTAATAATTACTAGACAGAGATAAATCTCTGCTCTTGTTTTGCCGGAATTCGACTTCGCAACGAAATATCTTTCACTGAAAGTCATTCTTTAATTTTTATTAGAGGAGACAGGTTCTGTGACCATTCCGGATAGGAAATATCATAGGTAGGCAATAGAATTGATAACTTCATTTCGAATGAAACCAAACGTGCACAAACTGTGCCGGAATTTAATCGACGACAAAGGCTGAGAACATAAAGATGCAATGCCAGAATTTAATAGATGAAAATGCTCCCAGAACTACAGCAAAGATACAAGCTGGAATTTAATTGACAACGCGGATATAGAACTACAACTAAGAAATACGTCTGAATTTAATCGACAATGCAAATATGTAAACTATAACTACAGTGCAGGATTTGAACGATAATTGAAGAATAACATGTTTTTCATTTGTTCGGGGGGGCTCTCCAGTAGCTGAGCACTGGTATTTATAGTACCTATGACATAATCGCTTGAGAGGAGTTCTTCTACAGTTTTAGCCGTGTTTCCATATCTTCGAGAATCTCGATTGCATGAACTCATGATGCTACAATCTTATCTTGAGGTGGTTACTCCTTTAAAATTGTGCCTTGATCTTTCGCTTTTACTGAGTTACCTTTATCACTTCTCCACGATCTACTGGACTCCATTGCTCTTTCCACGGGTGATTTCAAATTAGAATATATTTTAATCGGTATCTTTATCAACTAGTTCTACTATGACAATTGTCAACCACATGTCATAAATTAATAGTTGATTCATGGTCATCAATGTATAATGATATCAACAACTCTTTTGGTCATCAACAATGGCTCATATATCCAGTATCGATCACCATTTATCGATAACCACGTGTCTACTCATGTCTCCGACCTAGTTAGATTTTGGTGCAAACACCTCTATATCATTCAAGTACTATCTTCATCTCAAACTTAGACTAATTTACATGTGGATGGCGACTATACTCTTAGCTCAAATTTAGTGCTAACGTTTTTAGACTGATTGATAATATTTCACATTAACACTTTCATTTTAGTTGAACAAAGTAAAGTGGTTATCAGACTAAAACTAGTTTTTTAGCCCGTGCATTGCCCGTGTTAATTTAAATTTATTTCTTGAGACCTATGTCAAATAAAATTAGTCATGCCAAATTGTTTCCAATGTCATTTAAATTTCAACTGGAAAACCTATTAAGTTTCAATTTTATATCAAGAACATCTAAGTTGATGAAAGAAGATAGATGTAATGCAAAAGAAATGTACGTGTACATTTATACATTTATGTATGTGTAAGTTCTTGTTGATTCAGTCCCGATCGATGCTTTTGCTAATTCTGTAAGTCTTTAATAGCGAGCATTTTCAAGTGTAAAGTA